TGTTACGGTAATGACCACGAGGAAGAGCTATGCCATTACTGCTTCCACCTTTAGGACTTGGAAATGATCAGGATAAGTATTTTATGATAGGATGAGGGGAACGACTAGTGCCCATCCACTTGGACGGTCGGGGATTGTACGGAAATGAACCTGCAAGAAGCGAGACGTTCGCTCTACCGCATATTCCAAGTAACAAGCGTCATCAGCTTTTCAAGCTTTATATTAACAAGGAGCAATATTTTTTTTCCTGAAAATGTTGTAAATAACAATTTTGGAAACATTTTAGCACGGCAGTTGATACTTTACGGTATTTTGGGGCCTTGGAGTTGGGATTTTGTTGGTCGCTTCGAGCCTCCATCATGAGGTCGAGGAAGTCTCCCCGCTTCTCTCCGGTCTCTCGGCGCTTCATCGTCTCTATCACAATATCTTGGAAGTAGGTCATCTCAGGCTGAGACAAATTAATCCGAAGAGCTGAACAAATTTTGGGGAACATTGTGAAGAAAACTAATTTTACCATTCTGGCTGGGGTGATCTTGAAGAGTTTCTCTACCATAGAGTTAATAGTGGAGTCACCTTCTACGAGAGTATTTGTTTCCATACCAAAGGCACATGATGAAATGACTTCAAGAGTGTACAGACCGAAGCTCTTCTTCAGTTGAATGATCGGTTTGGTTTTCGTTTCTCTGTGAATGTAGTCCAGGAGAGCGTCAGCCTTGAGCCCCACCAGGGGGAACATCCCCTTCATTCTGCCAGAGGTGAAGCTGGGGGAGAGCACTGAGCGGATGCCCTTCCAATGATTCCCTCTCGCTACTGTCAACATCTCGCTTATGACTTCGTCCCTCTTTGATGTGACTGTGAAATGTCGGCGATCGACAAAGTGATCGAAGTCTTTCATCAAGATGGCCTTGACTAGTTCAGGATCCCATACCATAAGTGTGGGTTTAAGCAGCTCGTAAAACCCACAGAGCCTCGAACCGCCATGATTCTTGTAAACCTGGAAAAACAAACATGTCTGAGCCTTCTCAAGATAACAATATCAACTTCGTTTAAAAGTGCAATCATGATGAATCCCGTCTAATTATTTTTCATCTGTGTCTACAAAAGAGAATACCTGTTTGCCTGTCTGTGCGAAGTAGGCAACCAGAGGTTTGGGGCAATATTCACAAAACTTTTCATAGTTACTGGTGCGTGTTTGAGGATAATCATAGGCGAATTTGGGTCGACCACATTCCTCCCACCTTTATTGCATGAGATGGAAAATTATTCCAATTTCCAATCTCTCTAAATATCAGACATCTTCCTCACTAAGAATCCTGAATCATTTTTACAATGATGTTGATTAAATGTCAGTTTGACTTATGTAGTTTATTTATTGATGAAGACAGTGTGTATTGAAGGTAGTAGAGGAAAAGGAATGTGATGAAGGGTAGGAGGGGATGGTATAGAGTAGAAAGGGTGGTGAAGTGTAGGGAAGATGGCGAAGGGTATACATGATGGTAAACGGTATGGAATGTTTCAGTTGTAATGATGGTATTCAAGGGTAAAGTTTTTGGTCAAGGGTAGGAAATGTAGTGGAAGATAGGGATGGTAGAGAAGTGCTGGATGGTGAAGGGAAGGAAAAATAGTTAAGTGTTGGGTGGTGGTGAAGGAAAGGGAAGGTAATGAAGGGTGTGAATGGTGATGAAGGGAAGGGTATGAATGGTGGTGAAGGGAAGGGTATGAATGGTGGTGAAGGGAAGGGTATGAATGGTGGTGAAGGGAAGGGTATGAATGGTGGTGAAGGGAAGGGTATGAATGGTGGTGAAGGGAAGGGTATGAATGGTGGTGAAGGGAAGGGTATGAATGGTGGTGAAGGGAAGGGTATGAATGGTGGTGAAGGGAAGGGTATGAATGGTGGTGAAGGGAAGGGTATGAATGGTGGTGAAGGGAAGGGTATGAATGGTGGTGAAGGGAAGGGTATGAATGGTGGTGAAGGGAAGGGTATGAATGGTGGTGAAGGGAAGGGTATGAATGGTGGTGAAGGGAAGGGTATGAATGGTGGTGAAGGGAAGGGTATGAATGGTGGTGAAGGGAAGGGTATGAATGGTGGTGAAGGGAAGGGTATGAATGGTGGTGAAGGGAAGGGTATGAATGGTGGTGAAGGGAAGGGTATAAATGGTGGTGAAGGGAAGGGTATGAATGGTGGTGAAGGGAAAGGTATGAATGGTGGTGAAGGGAAGGGTATGAATGGTGGTGAAGGGAAGGGTATGAATGGTGGTGAAGGGAAGGGTATGAATGGTGGTGAAGGGAAGGGAAGCTGATGAGGATGGTTGTGTTTAGTGTAGATGGTAGCAGTATTGACGGCTGTGTGTGGTTGTCAGGGGACATATTTTCCCTGCTCTCTCGTGCACTGAATTAAGTACGAAATTGCATAGTGCACCAGTGATGTGCACCGTGATTCAACTTTCTGTATATAACTTTTCCACAGTCGTGTTGGGTGTCGTTGGACAGCCCATGACATTTGCTAGCCATTGATGTCATTCTGATCGCTGTATCAGGTCTGTGAAGGAAATTACAGGAGGGAGTTGATTTCAGGGAAATTTTGTACAAGTCAAGTGTAGAGAGGGAGGTATGGGGGGTTAACGGCCGTAGACCAACCCCCCTATCACGTGTCCACCTCGTGAGAGAGGGGGTAGCGTCATGAGGCAGGTACGCCATTGGCTAAGGCTCTTGGGCCTCAGAAATGCTGAACCGTGATTGGCCAAGACGCTGAGGGGTACCGCATGGTACCCCAGGCATAGTGTTGGCGGGAAAAGACATTCTTACCTAGAACGTTGCTGCCTGAGGACGACATTTCCCGTGCTAGGCCAAGCATCGGGAAATACCGCCTGCAACGTTACTCAAGTCACCCCATTCATCTTGCTATCTTTCCGTGTGCCGTGCGTAAGAATCCGGTAATCGGAAAGGGGCTTGTATCGAACCGTGTGAACTTGTCATCTAGCCGCGTAATTGTGGGACGCCATCTTAGAGCGACTGGACTGAGTGAGGCGTTAATTATCGGGCTACGAAAATGTCATCCGCCGTCTATCGTATCTGTGCTTGAAGATACTGCTGTGAGATGTGCTAGAAAAGGTTTCAGTGTTATGAGAGAAACCTTAAAAGTTCTAATTCTGAGGAACAGTGAAGGACTCCGTCTCGGGTCTCGTGTACCGTGTAACACCGTGTACCGTCGTATCCTGGGGTACCGTTTCAAGTGGAAGGGCGTGGTACCGTATCCCTGCTGTTGTGCGCTCACCCTGGCCTGCCTGAGCCGGTGTGTCTGCGCCACTCTGGTCTCTGTGTGTGGAGCTAACCCCGTGGTCTAGGACCCTGTGCTCCACCTGACCACGTGTAGGAAGTGAGGACGCCTACGTCATCATCCAGCAGCAGCAGTGGGAGTGTGATTGACGTGTATGAGTGAAAGGGAGTGTGGCGGGCCCGCATGATTGATGTAAGTACACTGTTTCCGTTTGGGTAATAAAACTCTGAAGCTGGGTTCGCCCCCAGTATTCCGTCTGTCCTCTGTCCCTGTGACCACCTGGGGAGGTGAATGGGAATTGGAGACGTGAGAGTCTACCCTGTTGCCGCCATCAAGTTGAGGTTGGGCCCAACTGTGATTTATGACGTGTGTGAAGACACCTAGTGACACATTCAGAGGTAGAGTAAAGTGAGTTATTTGCTTCTATATTTTTCTATGTGCCGCGTATGTATTCGCTGTAATTTGATCCCCTTTTTCAGCAGTGAAAAGTGGTAACAGGGAGATTTCCCTTGGTTATATATTTTACTGTTGTGTTGTGGTAAAGTGTGAATTATTGGTGGATAATTTACTGGGGGAAGTCATTTACAAGTTATGCCGTGAGTGGCAAGGATGTACTGTGTTGTACTGTGATGTACTGTGTTGTACCGTGTGTAAACCGTAGACAAGGTTGTCCTTGGTGGAAGGCGTTGTGTACTGTGAAGGATTTCGTGAGAATTAAAGTCAGTTAACGTCACCGGGGGTCACGATTTACTTAACGAGGTCACTTGTTCGTTGAACATTGTTGTGATTAACGTAGGGACGTGTAAAGGCAACAGTCACAGTGAAGTTCACGCAGTGAAGGAATTGTTAAGTGAAGACTAACGTAGTGTTAGCGATTTAACGAGCTGTCGTTAATTGAGTGATTAACGTAAGGGGTTGACGGTCTGTTATGATCGGAGTCAATTGCGCTGTAATTAAGCTGCTGTAATTCGTTGGACTGATCAGATCTGTCTGCGGACAGAGTGATTAAGCACTCGTAGCTAATTAGAGAGAATTAGTAATCGCCACTTAGTGAATTCACCAGGTGTTGATGTTGTTGTTTACACGGAGTGTTGTAACCTTGTGTGTGGTACAGTAGTCTACCCTCGTTAAGGTAATCTTGCCGTAAGACCGGAAGTGAACTGTCAGCTGAGAGACAGTAGGCTTTATCAATACTCGTCTGAATTAATAGGCTGTTGTATTCAGTAATTAATTGGGAATTACTCACCGAATGCTTGACTTTCAAGTTGATATAATTAATTGAATTACGAGTTATTGCTGCCATTTAAGTGCCGTTGTGACACGTGTGTATTAACGTAATTGCTTAAATTCAATTAGACTAACTTTGTTGTTGATTGTCCTGAGAGACAAGTGTTAACGTAAGATTTTTTTTATAAGGGGTTATCATTCTTGGATTAACCGCCTTGTTACTTGGTACCTCGTTGTGGGCAGCGAGCGCCAGTCAAGTTTTTGTGAATATAGTATTGGTCACCGTGAAGCCGTGACAATATTGATTGCAAGCTTGCGTCACCAGTGGGCACCACTTTGTTCAGTTAGTGCCATTGTTCAGTCAGCGACGACGGGATAAGGATACCGTGGGTCCATCAGGCTGTTGATTAGCTGCTCTTTAATGTGCCACTGGAGTGACAGTAAAGTAACGTAAATTCAATGTGTAGTAGTTTTAGTTTTGTTTTGTGAATAAATTGTTTTGTTATAGAAACGGTCGTTTACGTCAAACCTTCCAATATTACTGCCCCACATTTCATGTTCTGCAACGCTTTGCCTGCTTATGTTCATATCAAGTCTGTATCTAAAGCTCGAGTCCATTGCACAGCACGACACTTCTATAAATAAGAGGTGAGAATCCGTCGGCTACCCTTTATTAGTTGTCAAACTAGGAGGAGCCAGCGATCTAAGTGACAGGTGTTACCCGAGTGGTTTCGCCTGGCGGTTTGCTCCCGCGGTCCTATGATCTTAGGCTTTAAGATTAAATATCTGCCACTGGCAGCTCTTGCTGTTTAAGGTCTGCCTCTCTTGCGAGGTAGTTACCATTAACGTAACATCAATAGGACTTAATTCTTTTGATAACCTGTCAAAGAAAAAAAATCTCACAGTGGTGAAGATGGATACAGCTATGAAGTCTGTGTGCGTAGTGTCACGGGGTAAGACAAAAGGCAGAGGCTCGTCACTGTTCTCTTCACAGTAATCTTATTGTCAAATATGTACTCCTTTTCCCTCGTGATGAAGTCGGCGCTTAACCCGTGTGTACACCAGCCCCCCCCCCCCCCCAAAAAAAAAAACAGGGACCTGGCAGCACGTCTGGGGACTTACTAGACTACTTTTTGTTCCCAGAGGATATTTCTGTCCCCAGATTTATTGAGATAGACATTATTTGAAGTGTCCTCAGTGAGAAAGGACTGCACAAGTCAGCACGTTAAGTGCCAGATGTGTAGTTTACACTGTAAAACTGCAATACGTAGCGAAAGCAGCCACCAGCGTTCTAAATCAATAGGATCCGTGTCCACTAGGTCGTAAAGCTCCTCTAATGCCTACCGCAATTTAAAGGGCAGCTTGCGGATTCTCATAGCGAATTTAATATTCAGTGATAATAGCTATGAGTCACGTTCTAGTCCAGATGCAGGCTTTCATGAAGTGCAAGAGTTAGTTTAGTATGTTGCAGCATGGGTGAGACAATACTGTTGGAAGGTATTGACGTAAAGACACTTTTCTTTTGGCAACAATAATATTTATTCATAAAACCTTACAGCTATTACAAGGCGCCACAATTTTGACATTACGTTTATGTCCTGAAGTAACACATAAAGAACTATCCAAACAGCAGTATAGCAAGGATTCCTCTTGTTGTCGCTCTTGACTGAATAACGAACTAACTGAAGAGTACAGGTGCTCACGTGGGACTCGATATGCAAATCAAATAATTACACAAAACACTGAATTCTGACACTGAAAAAGTTCTTTCTTACGTCGCTGTGGCTCATATGGGTATTCAGTTTCCACCAGTGTCCACTTGTTCGCGTACCATGTGTGTTAAATAGTTTATCCTAATCTACCCTGTCAATTCCTCTGAGAATTTTGTAGTTAGTGATCATGTCTCCCCATACTCTTCTGTCTTCCAGTGTCGTGAGGTGCATTTTACACAGCTTTTTTCGCAACTCATGCCTCTCAGTTCTGGGACTAGCCTAGTGGCATACTTCTGAACTTTCTCCAGCTTCGTCTTGTGCTTGACAAAGTATGGATGTGTGTGTGAATTCAACTAGTTGTATTCACCTAGTTGTGCTTGCGGGGGTTGAGCTCTGCTCTTTCGGCTCGCCTCTCATCTGTCAATCAACTGTTTCTACTACAACTATTTTTTTTCACACCACACACACACAAACCCCAGGAAGCAGCCCGTGACAGCTGACTAACTCCCAGGTATCTATTTACTGCTAGGTAACAGGTTCTTAGGGTGAAAAACTCTGCCCATCGTTTCTCCCCCACTCTCCCAAGCCCTCCCTTCTTCCTCAACCCACTCAGCACTCCCTTTCAACCAACCTCCCCCCCCCAAGCCCTCCTCCCTGGTATGCCCCCGAGCCCCACATTCCTTCCCATCCCTCCAAACCTTCCCTCCTCCCCCCCCCCAAAGCGTCCACTACTCCCACACTCCCCAAAGCGTCCCCCTCTCACCCAAGCCTCCCCCTCTCACCCACCCTGCCGAAGCCTCCCCCACTCACCCAAGCCCACTTTTCTCCCCAACTCCCTTAAGCCCTCCCCCCCTACAGCTCCCTCCCCATACCGGATCCTCCCAGCCCCTGCACTACACATATCCCCCAGGTCCCCCTTCATAAGCCCTCCCATCCCGGTCCCTCCCTGTTTCCCTGCTTCAGGGGAAGCAATAGGATCTGTGAAGGAACAGAAGAGAGTCAGTTTCCGGGTGATGTACTCGAACATAAATGGGATCACAAGCAAGACAAGTGAATTAAGGGAAAGAGCACAAGAAGTGAACCCAGATGTAATCGGACTCACAGAAATAAAACTCGGGAATCATAACGAATTCGGTGTTTCCCCAGGACTACACTGTAATAAGGAAAGAGAGGGAGGGAGGGGGAGGAGGTGGAGTGGCCCTAATAATGAGAAAGGAATAGAGTTTCAAGGGGATGGTCATTCCGGGCTGCGAGGGATTCAGAGACTACTTAACAGGCACCATGGCAATGGGAGGAACAAAATTAGTAGTAGCAGTGATATATAACCCTCCACCAAATGACAGAAGACCCAGGCAAGAGAACGACAACAACAACATGGCAGTTAACACTATAATTGAAAATGCAGCCTCTGCTGCCTGTAGCAATAGATCCCATCTGCTCATCATGGGGGACTTCGATCACGAAAGGATAGACTGGAAGAACAAGGAACCGCATGGAGGAGAGGATACATGGAGAGCCAAACTAATGGAGGTGGCGAAAAGAACCTTTCTAAGCCAATATGTCAGGGAACCATCTAGGATGAGAGGAAACGATGAACCAGCGAGACTCGACCTAATCTTCACCCTGAACGACTTCGACATAAGAGAAATCGGTTTTGAGGCATCAGTAGGAATGAGCGACCACATTGTACTGGTGTTTGAGTATCTGGTTGAAGAAGGGTTATTGAACTCGAGAAGGGGTACTGAAAACAAAAGGCTGGCATTCCGTAAGGGAAACTATGAGGAGATAAGAAGTTTCTTAACAGATATAACATGGGAAACAGAGCTCAGGGGAAAGACGGCCCAAGACATGATGGACTACGTCACGCAGAAATGCAAGGATGCAGTAAACAAATTTGTCCCAGTCCAAAAAGAAGACAACGAAATGAAGATGAGAAACCCATGGTTTAATCAGAGATGTAGGCTAGCTAAGCAGCAAAGTAAAAGGGCATGGAGAAACTATAGGAATAACAGGACACTTGAGAGCAGAGAAAGGTACCAGAGTGCCAGAAATGAATATGTCAGGATGAGAAAAGAGGCAGAAAGACAATACAAAATTGACTTCTCAAGCAAGGCAAAGACTCAATCTAAATTGCTGCACAGCCACATCAGGAGAAAAACAACAGTAAAGAAACAGGAAATGAAATTAAGGAGAGGGGCAGAAGGATTCACTACAAACAACAAGGTGTGTGAGGAACTGAATAAGAAATTCCAGGTCTTCACCTTAGAGAAAGGAGAAATTCCTGAGATAAGAGAGGGAACAGTTAACCAGGAACCACTGGAAGAGATTGAGATTACCAGTGAGGAAGTAAGGAAGTTGTTACTAGAGTTGGATGTGACAAAGGCTATAGGCCCAGATGGAATCTCCCCTTGGATACTAAAGGAAGGAGCAGAAACACTGTGCTTACCACTCTCCATAGTGTATAACAAATCACTGGCAACAGGGGAACTGCCAGAAATTTGGAAAGCAGCTAATGTAGTCCAGATATATAAGAAAGGGGATAGACAGGAGACACTGAACTATAGGCCAGTGTCCCTAATCTGCATACCATGCAAGCTGATGGAGAAGATTGTGCGAAGAGACCTAGTGGAACATCTGGAGCGAAGGAACTTTCTAACACAGAATCAACATTGGTTCAGGGATGGTAAGTCCTGCCTCACTGGGTTACTTGAATTCTATGACCAGGCAACAAAAATCAGGCAAGAAAGAGAGCGATGGGCAGACTGCATATTTTTGGATTGCCAGAAAGCCTTTCATACAGTACTACAAAAGAGGCTAGTGAAAAAGCTGGAGTGAAAGGGAAGATACTCCATTGAATAAGGGAGTACCTAAGCAACAGAAGACAATGAGTCATTGTGAGGCGTGAGGTCTCAGATTGGCGAGCCGTCACAAGTGGAGTCCAGCAGGGGTCAGTCCTTTGACTTATACTGTTTCTGATATATGTAAATGATCTCCCGGAGGGTATAGACTCGTTTCTCTCAATGTTTGCTAATGACGCAAAAATTATATGGAGGACTGAAACAGGAGGAGGATAGTAGGAGGCTACAAGATGACCTAGACAGATTGAATGAATGGTCCAACAAATGGCTGCTCAAGTTCAACACGAGAAAATGCAAAGTAATGAAAATAGGTGGCGGAAATAGAAGGCCAGACACTGGATACAGTATGAGAGATGAAGTACTTCATGAAACGGACAGAGAAAGATCTAGGGGTTGATATCTCACCAAACCTGTCTCCTGAAATCCACATAAAAAGAATTACATCTGCGGCATATGCGAGATTGGTTAATATCAGAACAGCATTCAGGAACCTGAGTAAGGAATCATCCAGAATCTTGTATACCATCAACCCGTTCTCGCACTTTCTTATAGTCAATATTGGCTTATTTAATAAGTGCATATGCGACATACTAACTGATTGTGAATATTTTAGTTTACCTTGAAAAGCTTCATAGAAAACACCGACCTCACCTAACCTTCTTAGTATGTTAAGATAAGCATCTTATTGCTTCTTAACTACAATTATTACTTAACCTATACTATTGATAGGTTAAGTAATAATTGTAAATAAGAAGCAATAAGAAGCTTATCTTAACATACTAAGTAGGTTAAGTGAGGTCGGTGTTTTCTATGAAGTTTTTCAAGGTAAACTAAAATATTCGCAATCAATTAGTATGTCACATATGCACTTATTAAATAAGCCAATGCTGACAGTAAGCAAGTGCGAGAACGGGTTGATACCACATATGTAAGATCAATCCTTGTGTATGCGGCCCCAGCATGGAGCCCGTACCTTGTCAAGCACAAGACGAAGCAGGAAAAAGTTCAGAGGTATGCCACTAAACTGGTCCCAGAGCTAAGAGGCATGAGTTACGAGGAAAGGCGGCGAGAGATGCACCTTACGACACTGGAAGACAGGAAAGTAAGGGGAGACATGATCACTACCTACAAAATCCTCAGGGTGTATTGACAGGGTAGACAAGGATAAACTATTCAAAACTGGTGGTAGCGAACAAACACAGGTGGAAACTGTGTACCCAAATGAGCCACAGGGACGTCAGAAAGAACTTTTTCAGTGTCAGTGTAGTTAACAGGTGGAATGCATTGGGCTGCTGGTCAAGAGAGAACTGGATAAGCACCTCCAAAGGATACCTGATCAACCAGGCTGTGACTCATACGTCAGGCTGCGAGCAGCCGCGTCCAACAGCCTGGTTGATCAGTCCGGCAACCAGGAGGCCTGGTCGACGACCGGGCCGCGGGGACGCTAAGCCCCAGAAGCACCTCAAGGTAACCTCAAGGTAAGGTGATGTGGTGGAGGCTGACTCCATACACAGTTTTAAATGTAGATATGATAGAGCCCAGTAGGCTCAGGAATCTGTACACCAGTTGATTGACGGTTGAGAGGCGGGCCCAAAGAGCTAAAGCTTAACCCTAGCAAGCACAATTAGGTGAGAACACACACATACACACACACATGAATGATAAGGACAACGCAGCAGTGAATGAAATACTGAAGGCACTAGAGATGGAAGGGGCCGAGCATAGAATTGAGAAGGTTTTCAGGCTAGGCTGGTACAACAAAGACCGAGACCGTGTGTTAAACAGTGTTTGCAAACGAGAACACAAAGGAGATGATTCTAACAAGGAAAAGCCACCTGCAACATGTGGGAGAATTAAAAAAAAAGTATTCCTCCAGAGGGACATGACAAGGGAGAAGAGAGAGCCATGGCGGCAGAAGCAAGGAAGAAGCGAAGGGAGAGAAGGGAAAACCAGGAACTCACAGCTCCCAACACATCATCCCCAGAGGTGAGGGGGAAACCCAGAACCAGCTACCCAGTAACACCAGAGGGGAGGGCAACCCCACCACCCTCCTCTGCATAGAAACCCCCCCCCTTCCCCCCCCCCCTGCCCCCACTCAAACGCTAACCCAAATCTCCCTCCCCCCACACCCTATTCCCAGCTTGTTACCCCTCTCCTCCTCCCACCGTGTTCCCCCCTCCCCCTTTTTCCTTCCGGTCCTTCCTCCCCCCCCCCCCCCTCATCCCATACTCTCCCTGTCCCCCCACCCCCTTCACTTGATCACCCGCCCCTCACCCCAGTATCCTCTCAGACCCTGTTATCCACCTCACACATCCTCACACCCATGGAACAGCCTCCTCCACCAGCAGAACACTCACCAAGGAGGCGATTTGAGAAGGGACAGAAGAAAGTGAGCCTCAGGGCAATGTACACTAGCATAGATGGAATTACAAATAAAGCAAATGAGCTTAGAGAATGGGTACTAGAGGAAAACTCAGACATAATAGCACTCACAGAAACAAAGCTAACGAAAACCATAACAAATGCAGTGTTCCCACAGGAATATTATGTTATGAGGTAAGAGAGAGAAGGGAGAGGCGGAGGTGGTGTAGCTCTGCTGGTAAGAAAGGGCTGGGACTTTGAGGAGGAGATTATTCAGGGTTGTGAGGATATCAGTGAATACATAGCAGGTACTATAACAATTGGAGGACAAAAAATTATAGTCGTAGTTATGTATAATCTGCCGCCAAATGACAGAAGACTCAGACAGGGATATAATAGAAACAACATGGCCACCACTAACATAATAGAGAGAACAGCTTCTGTTGCCAGCAGGAATGGATCTGGACTACTAATAATGAGAGACTTCAACCACAGGAAAATAGACTTGGAAAACAGAGATCTGCATGGAGGACTAGAAACATGAAGAGCTAAGCTGCTGGACGTGGCAACAAGACACTTTCTAAGCCAGCACATCAAGGAACCAACAAGAATGAGAGGAAAAGATGAACCAGCCATGCTCGGTCTGATATTACCCTAAATGAGTGGGATATAAGGAAGGTGAAGATGGAAGCACCCTTAGGAATGAGTGATCACAGTGTATTAAACTTTGAGTAAATAGTAGAGCTAGGAATTATCTCCCCCCCAAAAAAGAACTATGAAACAAACGGCTGGCATACCGAAAGAGGAACTATAAGGAGATGAGACGTTTCCTAAGGGAAATACCATGGGACACAGACCTCAGAGATAAGTCTGTACAAGATATGATGGACTATGTCACCCAAAAGTGTCAGGAGGCAGTAAACAGGTTCATCCCGTCCTAAGGGGAAAAATCCGAGAAGCAAAAGAAGAATCCATGGTATAATAGGGCATGAATGGAAGCAAAGGGACTGAACAAAAGGGCGTGGAGAAACTTCCAGAATAACAGAACACCAGAAAGCAGAGAGAGATACCAGAGAACCAGAAATGAGTATGTCAGGGTGAGAAGAGAAGCAGAGAAAAATTATGAAAATGGTATAGCAAACAAAGCCAAGACTGAATCAAAGCTATTCCATAGTCACATCAGGAGGAAAACAAAAGTGAAAGAACAGGTAATGAAACTTAGAACAGGCGAGGACAGGTATACAGAGAATGACAAAGAGGTGTATGAAGAACTAAACAAGAGGTTCCAGGAGGTCTTCACAATAGATCAAGGTGAGGTCACTGTGCTAGGAGAAAGGGAAGTAAACCAGGCGGCCTTGGAAGGGTTCGAAATTACGAGTGAGGAGGTCAGTAGACACCTGCTTGATCTGGATGATAGAAAGGCTGTTGGTCCAGACGGGATCTCACCATGGATACTGAAATAGTGTGCAGAGGCACTTTGCTTGTTACTCTCCATAGTGTATAGTAGGTCACTGGAGATGGGACACCTACCAGAAATATGGAAGACGGCGAATGTGGTCCCAATATACAAAAAAGGCGACAGGCAAGAGGCACTGAACTACAGGCCAGTGTCCTTGACTTGTATACCATGCAAGGTAATGGAGAAGATTGTGAGAAAAAACCTAGTAACACATCTGGAGGGAAGGGACTTCGTGACAAATCGCCAACGTGGATTCAGAGAGGGTAAATCTTGCCTGACTGTCACCTGGTCCTAGAATTCTATCAAGCCAAAGATTAAGCTAGAAAGAGAAGGCTGGGCAGACTGCATTTTCTTGGATTGTCGGAAAGCCTTTGACACAGTACCGCATAAAAGGCTGGTACATAAGCTGGAGAGACAGGCAGGTGTAGCTGGTAAGGTGCTCCAGTGCATAAGGGAGTACCTGAGCAATAGGAAGCAGAGAGTTACGGTGAGGGGTGAGACCTCAGATTGGCGTGAAATCACCAGTGGAGTCCCACAGGGCTCTGTACTCGGTCTTATCTTGTTTCTGATAATTGTATATGATCTCCCGGAGGGTATAGTTTCATTTCTTTCAATGTTTGCTGACGATGCCAAAATTATGAGAAGGATTAAGACTGAGGAGGACTGCTTAAGGCTTCAAGAAGACCTAGACAAGCTTAAGGAATGGTCGAACAAATTGTTGTTTGAGTTTAATCCAACCAAATGTAATGTAACGAAGATAGGGAGGCCAGATACTAGGTATCATCTGGGAGATGAAAT